GCCGTTCGCAGCCCCGGAGCAGGCCTCTCGCAGCTCTCTCACCCACACCTGCGGGGGGAATTTTTTTAATTTTTTCCCCAACCGGCCTTTGATTTCCTCCTGGCTCTTCTAGAGAAACCAGTGGAAGGAACCTGAGAGCTTTCTCACATTTTTCTCAAATCGGAGAAAGAACCCGTGAAGCTGGAAGTACCTTTCTCCCCATCCTAATCCAGGTCGCCTGGGGCTTGAAAAAAATGTGGGAATGGTGGGGACTGAAAAGGGAGCGAGGAGAGTCCTGGCCTAACTCTCCTGTGCTGGTGCTCGGAGACGTCCAGGTGAGTGCCCCCTGGGCTGTGGGCACCTCGTAGTTCTGTCAACAGATGGAACAAAAGACCTGCAAAGTTCTTAGCAAACATGACGAATGCTGCCTACAATACACACGCAAAATATATGTGCACAGGTTTTTGCCTTGCGTGTGGCCAACCTTGGTGCTCTAGCTCTATACATGAAATGTGAGGGTTTGTGCATAGGACTCAAAAAATAAATACTACGGTTACCACTGTAAGTACCACGTGTGTCAGTGGTAAGGTTATACAGAGAGGGTTGTTTTGGTTTTGTTTTTTTATGATATAAAAGGTTAAGAAAATGAAAGTAGAATTAGGAAAAAAAAAAAAGAGCGAAGCCATCAGTTATCCTTTATGTTCTTAATAGAGATGCAAAGAAAACTGTGTGGTGTAAACTGATTACAATACCTAGGGGTGTGCGTATTGAAGCACTGGCATCTTTAAGTGGCAGAGTGCAATTTTAGAGAGATGTTGGGAGACCACGAGCAGTGTGTTTTTGTCTTTGGGACCTAGAGGTGAGGAACAAAGTCTGACAGAGCCGCTACAGCTTGATTTTTAAAACTTCCATCTGACACAGTGCTTGGAAGCAGGGATCATTTTCTAGAAATAGCCATTTATAGAAACAATCTTTTTATATGCACAAACCTGTCAGAAAACAGGTTGTCTAAAGCTGGCATCCAGAACCAACAACATCTAGAATGAAGAGTTACTACTCTCAACAATCCAATTCTTTTCCAACTGACATTTGGTCTGATTGTAGGTTCCCTAGGGAAGGAAAGTTTTCTTTTCAACTCTGTCAGTCTTCTTCCACTGTTCCTCCCCTTCTCCAAAGAGTCAGATTGTGTTCCAATTTGCACCAGGAAACTGTATTTTGGCCCAAACTGCCAGTCTCTCTTTGCCTTCCCAGACAAAAGGCAATCGGTAGGCACAAGCCTGAAGTTATCTTAAGAAATTGAGATTCCCCTGCGAGCCCCCATTTCTGCTGATCTCACACTTTCCCATGAACAGGGGCTTCCTTTAAATGTCAGTGAGGTCAGTTTATCCTATAAATCAAGGGCAAACTCTCTCCAACTAAAGCTCCAACCAGCTCCAAAGGAGACAAAACTGAACTCCTAGAAGGATCTTATAAATTCACAGTCAGAGAACAAGATGAGAAATCGGGGCTCGGCTTTAATTACTTAAAAGATAATTGTGCCGACGTGGTGGTCACCAAGAAAGGCAGGAAATGATTGAAGAACCTACCCCTCCCTTCCTATTTAATTTTTCCTCTGCACATTTTTAACTTTTGGCTGAGAAATTAAGAAGGTGGACTCGTTATCTCTGCAATATTTAAATTCTACGCCTAGGGCATTTTGACATTCTTTACTCCCCACCGAAAAGAGAAAAAAAAACACAAAAAAACCTTACGCTCTTGTTTTGTTTTGTTTGTTTTAACCACGCAGTAAATGAAAACAAACTCGGGCTCTAAAGGAAGCCCGAGTGAGCCGCAGGGCTCCGCAGACCGTTCTTACGCCGCAGAAGAGACACTTAGGGCCCGGCAAGGTCAAGGGTGAGAAAGGGAAGGAACAGTGGTGTGGCACCGTGGAACATGAGCAGGGACTAGACCTCCGCTCGAATTTCCGGGGGCAGAGGGACCCTAAAAGGAAGCGGCAGGCGCGGAGCAAACAGAAAAGAACAGGAGGGAGGCCGGCAGGGAATCGCCATGCATTTTGTCTCCATCACGGCGGCCGGTGGTGCCACTTCCCAAGATGATACATATATATGTGGAGGTCTGTTAAGCTAAGAGAAAGAGAGGGAGAGAGAAAGAAAGAAAGCAGAAAAATAGCCCCAGACTGAGCAACGCGGTAACATGCAAGTTGCTAGTAGTAACTTCGGGACCTCCGTTTCCGAGGAAAATGAAGTGAAGCGTAAGAATGAAACCAATTAGGTGACATTTGAACTTCCTGCCTGAGCGAATTTGGCCTGATTGCTAGAATCCTCGACAAGAATACTGCAATTTCCACAGGGTGCCCGACTCCTCGCTGCCGCCTCTGAGCCCAGACAGGCCGCCCTCCGCCGAGTCTGCGGCCGGGCAGCCCCACGCCGGCTCGGGTCTCCCGGGCTGCGCCCCAAGTCCGGCCCCGGCCGCGCTCCCCAAGAGAGCGAGCGGGGCTGAGGCTGCGGCGGCTCGGGAGGCGGGGGAGGGTGGAAAATGCGAACCATGTGTTGGGGATGGGGGGATGTTATGGGTCTGGTAGTTTGAGATGAGGCAGGAGACTGTGTGTGGCAAGGAAACCAAGGGCATGAATTTCAAGTTAATGAGATCAGGACACCCCCTGGGAGGACTCCTTACATTTCCAAAGGAAAAAGCCCCAGGTGGTGGGATCGACGAGGGCGGAGGCCTCAAATACTGAGACCTCGGCGAGGGTTTGGGGGGCTCTGCACAGCCTCACGGCGGCCCCTGAGCCTTACCTTGGTCGGTGATGGAGCGAATGCCCAGGATGTCGGTGACGGAGTGGGAGGAGGGCCAGGTGCGCGGCATGGCCACCGAGCCAGGGATGGCGGGCACCCCGGGCGGCGTGGGCACCTTAGCGGCGGCCGCCGTGATGGGGCTGGGGTAGGAGTAGATGTGGTTATAGGGCAGCGCTGGCTGCGGAGCCGGCTGGTGCTGCTTGTATGAGTCGTAATGGCCCTGTTGGGCCAAGTTGCCGATCTTGTTACGCAGGATGCGGCTGATGGAGCTCACCGAGGGCACGTTGTATTTGTCACATACGCCGTCCGCCAGTAGGCGGTCCCGGATCTCCCAGGCGAAAATGCCGGGGTCCCTCTGCTTGTAGGTCCGGATGTGCTTCACCACAGTGGGGGTGGTGACCCGAGGCTTGCTGCCCCCGATGGCTCCTGGCAAGATCGAGCCCGTCTCGTTGTAGCGCGCCAGGATCTTGCTGACGCAGCCATGAGAGACCCGTAGCTGGCGGCTGATGTCACACGGTCTGATGCCCAGTTGGGCCAGTTCCACGATGCGAAGCCGGATGGCGTTAGGCAGCGGTCTCCCGTTCACGAACACTCCTCCCAGCTGGTTCACCTCCCCAAAGGCTGGCTCTGCAAAACAAACACCCGGCGCGCGGGGACGCGCACCCGCAGTTTGGGACAGCCGCCTGCCGCTCGGCCTCCGCGCGCGTCAGGGGGCAGGGCGGATGCGCGCGCGAAGGACTAAGGAGGGACCCGGGCTTTCCTCAAAGCTAGGGTCCCCGAGCTTTGCAGAACGGCCCCAAACCGCCGCGGTCGAGTCAGACCCCCTCCCTCATTCCGGCGGTGCTTGCGGCCGCTAGAAACAAATAAGGCGGTGAGCAGGGTCGCTCCGAGGGTTCTGAAGTCTCGCAAGCAGGCGGGGAATCGGTCTTGACGCCTGCGACCGGCTCCTACTCGGCTACTCGGCGCTAAAGTTTTTGGGCCGCTCCCCCTTGATCCCCAGCGCCCCGCCTTGGGGACCTGCGCTATTAGACAAGGTCTTGGAGAAACGACAGGGCTTTTTCTTTTCTGTTTTGTTTTCGTGTGTGCATGTATGTGAAACAAAACTTGGTCTGCCACTGGGGCTGCGGGGCTTGCTGATGCCACCGCTCCCTCGTCTTAAAATCAGAAAATGGCATCAACAGCAACCCAGTAGCCAGTGTTTAGACTGAACTGCTGTGCGCCTCTGACCCTTAGCGTGTTCCTACAAGTTGTAGGAACACGAGCAAAGTCAATAAGGAGAGTGTGAACGCTTAGAGGTGCGCACCCTCGCGCTCTCTTTCCCTCCCTCTCTCGCTTGCTCCCTCCCTCCCTCCCGGGCTCTGACAGCGTCCCCCGCCGCCACTCACCCATTGCTCCGAGCAGCACACCAACCGGGCCCCAGTTCCGAGCTCCCAGAAAGAAAGTTTTCGCACGGCCTCAGTGGCCCAGCCTGTCGCTGCCCCAGGCCGAAGGTGCCTCCGCTTCTCTCCGGGAGGAGGCGGCGAGAGTGCAAAAGGAAGGAGTTTAAGGAAGTATGTGCCCGGCTGAAAGAGGCTTGAGTTCTGCATTTCAATCTAAGCAGCAACGTGGGCTGGGCTGAGCCGGGCCGGGCGGCTCTGTCTATCACTCACTGAGGACACGCCCCCCAAAGAGGAGGGCCCGAGGGCGAGCCGCGTGGTGATTGGTGCGGGCCGGTGAGCGACAGCGCGGTCCGGGAAAGTCCTTCCGCTGTCTCCTCGAGCTTGCTCCGCACCTGGGTGACTAAATACAATGAAAATTGGTGTTTGACACCTTCCGAGGAGCTACGCAAATAGACAGCAAAGTCAGGCTGATGAAAATGCTGAATAAGCAAATTAAAGCGTTTGATGCCAATATGAGAGACTCGGAGAGGGAAAAGGCTAAGGAGACTTCTTTGGGGGACGGTCGGAAGTCTTAGAATTGCTCCCAGTCCCCACCACGTCAAGCCAGGTGGCGAAAGCGAAGGTGTGGAAGGTAGGCCCGTCCGAGAGACTAGGAGGTTTAGGGGACACTGAGCCAGAGGTGGAGGCGACACTTACTGCCAGGTGGAAACCCCTCCTCAGCCCCCGTGACTAGCTGCAAACAGCAGTCTCTAGAGGAGGGTTCATCCAGGAGCGCGGGGCCGAACTTTAGCCACGCAGGCTCCAGGCGGGGGGCGCGCGGTGTGCAAAGAACGTAACCGCATGCGGCTGAAGCGCGCGCACAGGTCCACTGGTTTCCTGTGCGTGGGGCACACTCGGCGGAGGCAAGAGCGCCGCTGCGCTCAGCCAAGGTGCTGTCCGCTGGTGCTCAGGGCAAACATTTGCCTGCCCCT